GCCCTGGTGCCCCGTGCTCCCCCTGGAGCCCCCAGCCTTGGCCCCCCCCCCCGCCCCCCCCCAGGCCAGGGGCTGCACAGGGCAGGCTCTGAGCAGTGCAGGAACCCCGTGGACCTCCAATGTCCTACAGAGCCTGGCTGCAAGCATGCAGATGTTGTTACGATGCTTTTAGCTCCAGCCTGAGGCTATGCCTTACCCCATACGCCCGTGCCACTGGAATGAGGACAGCTGTGTGTCCCTGCGGATCCATCCCCATCCCACCGGCCTATCTGCTGTAACACGGACCAGGCCACCAGCAGCTTAGAGGGAGACAGCACGCTGTCCCTTCTTTGCTCATTCCTCTTCCTCCCCTGCCCTCACCTCCTTTGCCTTAGAAAACCCAGAGTGGGAAGAGCTTCTGAAGTGCTCGTCTCCATCTCACCGCTCCTTCAGCCCTCTGCGGCGCTTTGAAGCCTCCTGTGGGTGCTGATCCGTAGGTGGCCGCTGCCCATCCTGGCCCTTCCCCGGCCGGAGAAGCCGCTTGGCTGAGATGCTCTGCATCCAAGCACGTGGCCAAGGGCCTATGTCTTTACCAGGCTTAAATAAGCAAACTTAATCAGTCGTTTTTGCAAGCAGATACCACACACCGAAAAGCAAATAAAAGGCCTGCAAGTAGCTGAGGAAATCGGGGAAGCAAAAAGCCCGGCTTTCTAGCGGCTCTCTCGAGGAGATTGTCCCGTCATCCAACGCGTCATCCAACCTATTTCCATGAAACTAGAAGGACCTGAGTATTGGTGAGGCATTTATCCCTCAGGCAGGCCTAGCTGAAAGAGCCCATTCCGCATGTTAGTAATGGAAGGGACAAGCAAACAGAATGACGACACACTTACTTTTGTAAGGCTTACGAATCCAGGCTAAAATAAAGTACCTAAAATAATGAGAGAGAGAGCGAGAGAGATAGAGATACTGGGGTAGTTTGGGTTGGTTTTGGATAAAATGATCTTTTTTGTTTTTAATATCTAAACCTAGCTTTACTTTTGCTCCTAATTCTACCAAGTTTCTTCTGAGTGAGGTTTTCTGAGATTTTTCCCCATTTGACTCAATTTTCCGGTAGGAGAGAACAGTGCGGGAATTGTTGCAGAGCCCAGACCGCGGGAACAGAGGTGATGCACGTGGGACACGATGGCTAGCGTGACTTTGGCATGTCGATATAACTGAAGTCAGAGGCCAAAGGCAACAAGGCATTGGAATAAAATGAGTTGGGCAAGTAAGCGAAAGCTTTTTCTCAGCGTGTCTTTGCTGGGTGATGCTCCTTGGCCCCGAGAGAGCCGCAGTGCCGGAGCACACCACGGGCTGCAGGTATATGGGGTAGGTGGCGGCAACATTCATGGAAGAAGCCCCGAGAAACACGTATACAATACCTATAGTGCCCATATTTTTTCTGCAGCTTGCTTCAGCTCAGCCGCGCTCCCGCAGCCAGCTGAGCCCTTCCAACAGTCAGAAATTGCACAGGAAGCGAGGGGCGGGTGTTGTCGGCATTTCAAAGCAAGCTGTTATTCGGAGACGGGCTCTTTCTCCCCTGCTGCTCACCCCAAACATTTACCTTCCTTCCAAAATCACAGCAAGCCTTGCGGGAGCGAGCGAGACTCGTAAGCCCTGCTTTTTCACAGCTAGCAAGGTTAGGTCCCCAAGCCCTACCCCAGGAAGGGATCTTCTGCGATGAGCAGCTGTATCTAGCCCCCAGGGCTCTGCAAGCTGTCAGGCCTAAAAATTCACGACTCCCCAGGGAGCAGGAAAGCTAGTTGAGAGGCTTCGAAACTGCAGCAGCCTGAATGATTTCCTGAAGCCTGTATTAAGTTTATTCAGGCATCTGGCTACATAGGTGTCAGACAGCTCACTCATAAAAATGCCCCGCTAAGATTTTTTTTTTGTGAGTTTTCCCACAGCTAAATTTCTTCTCTGTGCTCCTGGCGTGTGCAGAAATAACCTTCACCTAAGAGCCTCGCTTGGGAGGGGCAGTGAGAGGTCTTTCTTCCTTGCCTCTCTCTGTCTTTCTCTTTCTTTTTCTTTTCCTTTCTTTCTCTTTGGTTCTTTCTTTCTCTTTCTTTTCCTTTCTTTCTTTCTCTTTGGTTCTTTCTTTCTCTTTCTCTTTCTTTTCCTTTCTTTCTTTCCTTCTTGCCTTTCCTTTGTGCATGCACACACACAGAGCCTGTGAGTCCGCCGTCGGGTTGGATCCCATAGCGCTGATGGCACGTACCCTCCTTCAGGCAGGCAGGCAGGACAGCCCGGTGTCCTGTTACAGGTGACATCCAGGCCCGCTATCAGGGCAGATGGGTTTGTGGAAAGCCCTTGAGAACAAGTTGCCTAGTGTCCAGAGTACCCTGCACCGGGGCCGGGCGAATGCATCACGCGCTAAAGCCCTGCTGCCGCCTGCCTGGCACTTTGCAGCTGCTCCACGGTGCTGCCAGCGCCTGGAGGTCGCAACTGCCAACAAAGCAGAGCCGCGCTGTTAAATCGCTCCCCCCGTTAATAGCCCTTTTTGTGCACAGGGAACGTGATTCTTCATCATCCCGCCCCGCTGCAAAACCCGCTCGGCTCCAGGCTGGCCACGGCTGAGGTCCCAGCTGGGCTCTGCGTGGGCACCCCGGGAAGGTGCACGTATGAACGGGGCCGCGCGCCTGAGCCGAGCTCTGCAGGCCACCGAAAAGAGCGCTTTGCTTTCGTGTTAACGCCACGCTGCAGTTTGGGTCGGTGTGTTCAGAAAATCGCTGTCGCTGCAAGCTTAGCCCTCTGCAGAGCGCACTGGAGGTTATTCCCTGACTGCAGCACAGGTATCTCCCGCTCGGACCCCAGGGCTGACACGTAAGCACGCGAGCAACACAAACGCCTGGCAGCTCAGGCACCCAGAGCAGCAGTGCCTAACGTGGGCATCTCGACTCGAGGACTCGAGCAGTCCTGTTATTGGGACACTATCTGGGGACATGAAATACTTATCCAAGCTGTTGTGCTCATTTGTTATTCAGTGTTAAGGAAATCTGCACCATTCTCTTGTCATATTCCCCATCCCGGAGGATAATTGATGCTAACGTCATTTCATTTTGGTCCAGCTGCCGGGCTCAAGAACAGATGTTTTATTGTTCAAGCTGAGCATGAAAAAATACCCCAAAGCAACAAAAAACCAACTGATTTTTGCTTGCAGTGAGGTTAGCCGCAGCTTCCCTACCCTAGAAGTGTGAGGAGACAGCACAGCAGCCCCAGGGAAGACCCAGGCCTCCAGGAGAGGCAAGATTTATATATCTAGCTGAGTGTGAACCTCTGACACACGATGCAAGCTCTTCCCCCACCGGTTTCTGACAGGTCGACAGCTTCCAGCAGAGCTCTATTTCCCTGGACACTGAGCTGTTGCCTCCCTGCCTTCGGGTGCGATGCACAATTAAGGGTCTTCACAGCTGCCCGAGAGCAAAGATTCATCCTGGTGTTTGCAAGGAGGAATGCAGCACTTGCTTAAGAGCAAAGACACGCATCCCCTGCAAGGAGCAGACAAAAAATAGGTGCATCTTAAGTGCAATAACATACCAGCAACACATGCATCTTCTGTGCACGAGCAAGCAAAGAGGCCACCCTCCTTCCTGGCTTGTAGCAAGCAGTCTGCCCATTCGGTGCTTCCGCATGAGAGCCCTAGAGCTTGCAGCTGTAGGGGGGGGGGTGCCTGGCACCACGCACCCGCATGTGTTTCTTCAAGAGCATGGGAAGGAGGGAGCCCATCACGTGCTCTGCAGCAGGTGCACAATGAACCCTGGAAGTCACGGGCTCACCCAGCGCCCTGCTCCACCTAATCATGCTACTGCCTGCTTAAACATCCCCGTGAAGTTACCAACAGGAGAGCTGCGGAGCAAGTGGAGAGCACTTCACTAGGTGCCAGAAAGCAATCTTTTTTTGAACAGATCTCTAAAAAATTGCAATGAATCCCCCCCCTCCCCCTCAAAAAACACCCACGTTAAAGGTTGTTTAATATTTTCTGGGGGGGAAGCATTTTCTCTCTAGCACTAATAAACCTGCAGACAAGAATGGCACTTTGACGCAGAAGAACTGGGAAACACTGGTATCTGATACCCAAACTGGGGAGGAGCTCCTGGAAGGACGGGCATAGCTGTTCTCCTGGCTGCGTGTGCAGGGACGATTTTGCTGTAGGTGAGACCTGGCCCTAGATATAAAGGGCTCTAAAATGCCCAGAGCAAATTTTCCCTCTGTGGCCAAAGCAGAAGGGGAGGGCTGCCTGCGGGGCCCGCACAAGGAGCTTGTCACACCTCTCAGGGTGTGACACATGCTCCCCACTGTCTCCGGGGACGAAACGTGTTTTCTCCCTGCTCCACAACAGGAGGGTGGTACAGACCCAATCCTATAAGCAACGCCATGAAAGATGCTGATCCCCCTCCAGGGGCCACACTGTGCGTGGGACATAGCCACTGCAGGCGCTTGGGGCGCGTGGTTTGAAAAGTCCATGGAGGAGAACAGGACCACAGGACCCCCCCCCCTCTTAGCAAAGCATGGGTGGGGGAAAACCACCAACTTTCTGTGGCTGCAAGTTAAATAGACCTTGTCCACGAAGGGCCCTGGGCCCTGCAATACCTGTGTTGTAAACCCAACTGCCAAGACCCCTTGGGGATCAGCATCAGACATTAACATCTCAGCCGCCTCAGGCTCGAGAAGAGGTTGGTGCCTCAGCTCTAGCTGTCAGGGGCAAGAGTCTGCAAGGGGAAAAAAAAAAAAACAGTCCTTCTAGTAACAGCGGTAGCAGAGAAGCTCGAGGTAGAAAATACCAGTTAAATCATCTGCCCCTCCTCATTCAGCTGAGATAATAAATGTCCCCTCCTTTGCCCGGGGACGAGCTGCTCACCAGTGCGTTCCCAATTCCAGACACCACCCTCCCCCAACCCACCTTTGGCCAACGGTTGGTTGGCGCCTGCTCTTGAGTCGGCTGCATTCGACATCCCAGCTGGCTTGGCAGCACCCCAAAACCACACAACACATCTTAGCCTGTGAACGGGCCAGGGGCAGCGTTGGAGAAACCATCACAACAAGCCTGCAGGATGCAGTATTCGCTCAGGAGTTGCACGCTGGCCTGCGGGCTACCTTGCTTGCCAGCAGGCTCCCTGGAGAGGGGTGCAGAGGGGTGGCTGAAGCCTTCAGGCTATTCTTTGCAATGGCATTGCATTGCAGCATGTACAGAAACAAGGAAAGGGCAAAATTCAGCCCGATGCCCTACTGCAAATACTCACTGCGATGGAGGAGCAGGTGGCAGGGCCCATAGGTTCAGTCCAGCCAGCTTCAAATATGGAGCTGGGTTTCAGCTATAGGTGCAGAGCCTGGAAGGAGATGGAGGAGAGTCATGGAAAATATTTACTCCGTGAGGTCAGTGCACCCTTCACTTCTCTTTGGAGGGGACTTTGAACAGAGGAGGGCAGACATTTGCTGCATGAACAAAAAGCACAAGTGGAGGGTTTCATGTATAAGTAAAAACAACCGAGCCTGTGCACTTGCTATTAGGGGAAACAGCCTGTTTTGGAAAAGAGGATGAGTGTCCAAAAACAAAGGTTGATTAAAAAATGAAGGGGATAGTCTGGAGAAGAGCCAGTAGCATGACACCTGGGAGGTGCAGGCTAAGGACATGGTGTGGAAACACAGTGCACTGAGTTGCAGGTGTGGATTAGAGGGAGGAAATCACCCCAGAACTCTAACACGTTGAAGGCTAGGCTAGCTGTGAGTACAGGGGTGGAGGTGAGCTCCTGCTCTCAGCACAGACAGGCAGAGGGGGGCAGGTTCAGCACACCCACTGCACCCAAGGGGCATCCCTACCCATGTGCTCGCCCAGCAGAGCCAGGACACCTTCTCCCCAAAACGTTATCCTGTGTCACCACACCAGGGAAGGATGTCTCAGAAAAGAGATTCCCCAAGACTGAGCTCAAAGGGGCAGGAGAAAAACCAGGCAGAAGGAGTGTCTTATCCTTAACATCCTGAATTCCCACCAGCCACACTCCACTCTAAGGTTAGGCTTGCTGCCTCCGAACAAGCTGCTTCACCCCTCACCCTGGAGACAGTGAGATGCAGTTTTGCCTCATTTCCAAGAAGCCCTGAGCCAGCTCTGCCAGAGTCCTGGAAATTTTCCCTTCCAAGGGATGAAAGGAAGAAAAAAATGGTTAAAGAAATAAACTCTTTCAAAATTATAAAAATAGTGCTGAATCATGGCACGTTTACTCCAGTTGTCACAAGAGTAACAGACTAATGAAACATCAAAAAGTGCAGGGGGAACAGCATATGTTATTCAGTGATGTAAGCCTACAAGCCCATCACACAGCAGCCTGGACAGCCAAAGTCTGCTTCGTGTTTCTGGCAAAAACAACAGTGCTCTATGTCTCCTGTGCTCCTTCTGCTTGGGTTCAGCTCCTCTCACGCACAGCTCTTCACTACCTTTTAGGTTCAAGCCCTAATTTGAATATTGGTCCAACCTGACTCCCCCCATGCAGGGAAGTTTCTTGGTAAACTGAGCTTTCAGATCAAAGCTTGTCCTAACCCCTGGCCAAAATCGGTTGTCTTAAAGCTAGGGTCAAACCAGCTCTGCTCTTCCAGGAAGCATCTGTTTGTTACAGTTTCCAGCTGGGCCAGCATCCCAGGGGACAGTTTCTCTCTTTATTTCAAGCCTAGCTGCTGCTGGCCTGTACAGTGACGCTTTTTTTCGCTGCAGTCACACCATGGCAGGCCGTGAGGCCATCACCCCTTTTAAGTCAAATTGGGTGGATGGGCTTCCACTCCCAGGCAGACTTCCCAGCAATGAGGCTGCTTTCAACAGCACAGTCACAGTGGTGACGCAGGATGTGGG